TTCAAGCGTCATTTCGAGTTGTGATCGTCAGGTGACAAGTAGAGTTGGGTGAATAACGCTTAGTGAGTTGTTTCGCACGCTGAGTGCCATAATTAACGTTCAAATGAATTCGTCGATTTGGTAGTCATGATGAGAGTAAGTAAATTCAGCACCACAGTGGCACAACACATCACAACCCCATGAAACACATTTCAAAGATGGGATCAAAACAATGACACCATAATCAGATTTTATAATCGAAACCTTCCGCTAACTGCTGTAGGCTGTGATTTGCGTGCGGTTTACTCTCGTCGACTTGTAAAATTTTTATTCGTCTTCAATGTTTCGACGTCTGAGTGCCCTAAAAGTTCATCAAATGAATAACACTGCTAAATTCCAGACTGTGTGACGGAATGTCATGGCACAGATAGGCTGCAGATGATTCAAAAAAACTTGAGCATTGCAATTTTATTTGTCCCATTTCGCTGTCTCATCCTCATTCATATTATCGAAGAGGTTTAAATGCTTTGTTCAAGACGCGTCTGTAGAATGCATTTCGTTAGAAGCCGTCAAGTTGGAACTACACTTTGTGGACAATGTCGCTTCCAAGTTGACACGCACGCAAAACTCAACTTTAATTACCTTGTCTTATCGTATATCTTATACACTACAAACGTCCTAAGACCATCTAGCTTTCCAAGCCATCCTAATACGCGCAAACCTATCTAACACCTGGCAGTGATTACATCGCGCTTTCTAGAGGGACTAGGAGACTACAAATTAACTCGGTCGGTGTAACGTCAACAAAAATCGGAACTCTGGCTTCCATCACTCAACCAAAAACACTTTCGGCGATGTCAATTAATAAAGCCCAACAACTTTATGCAAAAGGTGTATTCATCAGTATGAAATCATCCAAGACAAGTCTGAAAATCACTACGAATCGCTGCGTGGTCTTTTTGCAGGCAGAATGCCTACTTCTCTGGAATCGTCATCTGGCGGTAAATAGCGTTTCGCCGAAGTCCGCAAATTTGCAGGTGGCCATAATTCAAGAATGATTTTTCCAAAATTACACGGAGTGTGCAAACCTGAAATAAAAAAGGAACGAGCGCATTATGAACTAAGCTACAACCAGTTCAGCTTACGCGTCGAAATTTCAATGAATTTGACAAAAGGCACTAGCTGACTTCATGTAGGACATCTTAGTAATCAATTTATAATCGCAGACATGCAACCAAACGTTGTGGCCACTTGCACCAAAGAGAAGCATTCAAAACTAGACTGCTTAAATTGACACATCGACTTACCGCTGAAAGAATACATTGTGGATGTTGTAAAGACTATCTGCTCGCGTTCGGACGAAACACAATATTGGATTCCACCCCGATGACTTGAATGTCGTCTTCGTCGTCTTCATTGCCATTAAACACGGATTCGTGCCACGCATCAAATTCATGTCTACTGTCGATTTCGTGGGCAGTTAAGAGCTTAGAAATGTCAGGGAGAGTTTGATTTTGCTGCTGTAACGAATCCAGTGAACTTTCCTGGGGAAAGCTTTGATGAGTATTTTGAGGAGGTGACGGTGGTGACGACGCTCTCGCCGCTAATCTCCGCAATGCTCGTTGAGCATTACGCTCAGTCATGGCTATCAGCAACATTCGTCTCAAATCCAGCTCTGTCCTCGACATTGCAGCCCTGTCCCATTTACGCTGAGATGCCTCGATTATTCGCCTGGCCGCTTCTTGTGTTTCCTGTACAGCGAGTGAACTGACCGTGTGGAAAGATTCCGAAGACATGGACATTGAACAACCACGCTTAAGGAGAAGAGAGAGGACAAAAATGACTGCGTGGGAGCTATGTTCGATCTCGTAGAGTAGGTGGATCAATCAGACGACAAGAGACAACCAATCCCTACGCTGACTGGCTGATTAGTGTTTGCTTATTAAGGCGTGAGTGCGTGCGTGCTTGCGCAGGCACACCAAGGCGTTAGTTCACTCACGCTTACGCCGCTTCACGAAGCTAGGAATTGATCGTTTTTGATTTGAAATATATTTCAAGATGCTACCTATTGCCACAGTCTGCCAAGTGTGTGGCAATGACACGGTGGACTCTCAGAAACAAAGAATGGAAGAGCCTTGTAATATCACGTGTCCATTTAATCCACCACCTGTCTCTCCTTGACACTTGTGCATATATTTTAAAAGACGAACTTAATGAGTAGTTGGTTCTGTTGGAGGCACCTTATGTCATTTGGGTCATCAGATATTTTTTGTTGTTGATTGCAGGAGCGTCCAATATTGCTGTTGCATCACAGGATAAAACACGACTCGGATAATATCTAGTCATCTCAGCATAGAATTCGCCATTTGTAGACGAACTAATCAATAATCTGAATCATCAACTAATCTGTCATAATCGTAGTTTGTAGTCACTTTCAGTGTTTGAACGAGTGCTCCTCCTGCCGCTGATGCTGATGCAATCGTTAGTTCGCCCACCGTTAAAGGTCAAGTTTGGGCACATTTCCAGACACCTCCTTGACTCATCATCAACTTTCTAATGTCATTTTCAGTATGAAATGGAATTGTTTGTAATGGATTGACTGCGGGCAAGTTTGCGCACAATGTAGACAGATTAATTCATCAGCCATGCATGTCAGGATCTATTCGTTGTCAATTAGGCTTTTGCACATACTGTTTCACTACTCGCGCGCTCACAAGTGTTTTTAATTACCGATGTCGCAATCAAACACAGAGGTCGTGAGTCCTTGGACAATTGCATCACTAGCATGTGGAAGTCTAGTGCCTCTAAGTACAGTCATGACCGATCATAGCTGAAAATGACGCTTTTGTCGAGGTCAAAACTCTGCACAATGCCCTATTGTGAGGATGCGTTAAAAAGGACAGCAATTTTGCAGCTTCAGTGCGGTCGCAAAAATGTACGGCAGCAATAACATGAATCACCATGTTAAACTTGTCCACGGCTCAAATACACAAAACTTGAATGCTTAAATGGAAGGAAATAGGAATATTTCAAGGCCACGCATTGTGGCTGGCAGACACATATCGCTAAGCCCTTCAGAGTGTGCAACACTAAGCCGTAATATGTGTTTAACAGCCAGCAAAATCGCACTTGATCGGTAACGATTCGTTGTGACCTCCTTTGCCATTGTTACTTTCTTCGTCAGTCTTAAATATATGTATTGCTCAAATTTGTGGGTTAAAAGATCCAGTTGAATTTCAGAAGACCTTTAGAAGTCTTCATTGTACAAAATGGACAACGAAACAAAGGAACCAATGTAGAATATTTTGTTTCAGTGCAGTTGGAAGCGACATTGTCCACATAGTTGAATTCCAAGTTAGAGGTATTCCGCCATCTGTGTCCATATCCAAGGTTAGCTAAAACTTTCGCGTCAGCATTTCGGCAGACGCAATTCTGGGTGCTACACTGAAATAGCCAGGTGTCAAATTGCATAACCTTATAATCGCCAATGTAGGAGCAGTTCCATGTCTCAGACAAATGGTTAAATTTGACTTCTTCATTAGAATCATTTGCGTGCCTGCTCATTTGGAACTGCCATCTTCAAAGTCATCGGTTTTGGACTAAAACCTAGCTTCAGCAAGAACAAAAGCCTCTGTTTTATAGTGGTGATTCAAGCAGTTAGGAGTCATTCAAACACAGGACCTGTTGAAATACCAGCTTGTATTACAATGGTAGATAGCTACAGCCAACAAAATGCCGCCTGTTTACGTCGCTAT